GCTTCAGAGAACTGCTACATGCTGCTGGGAGACCAGATCAGATTCAGCTCGCTCACTGAACTGCTGGAATATCATCAGGTAAATGTGCCATACGTCACGCACTGGTCCTGGGGAAACGGGTTCATCTGGGCCAGAAGAATCCCAAAGCGTCTCTGCATTTTATTTCTTCAGGTGCACACATAAAAAAAAAATTTAAAAAAAAACTTTTAAGTGTTGTCTTTAGTAGTAGATCTTGGCATAGGCACGGGACAGCTCTAAAACGCATACTTTTTTCCCATTTTTCTATTTTAATATTCTATTTTTTCTTTACAGATTATATTAGCATCGTAAATGATTGAAAATTAACGTTTTTTTCTTTAATGACAGCAGCACTCAAAATGGCCTGGTTGGACAGTAATAGACTCATATTTGAAATGTGCTTGTAATTTTAGTACATAACATAACACAGTAGTTATGCAGTCTGAACAGTATAATATTATTACATAAACAAAATATGATTTAAAATTGTAATAATTCATGTTCAGAAAATAAAATGAGTGCATTTATGAATTATTATTTACAAATGTGTGACTGGATTTACATAAATTAATTCACAGGTGTCTTCACACATTTAATGTTTTTACAATTATGAACTGATTGTTGGTTCTACATTCACGTCTCCACACATTTGAGGATTTGTGGCAATCGTTCTAGTTATGTTCAACTCTGATTTATGTCACATTAAAATGATTATATTATAGGTATTTTAGAGAATATAGAGAACACTGTACACAGTAAATGTAATGCACTTGCAGTGAATCCATAAATGATGTACTGTATGTGGAATAAAGGAGATGCTCCTACGACGCACAGAGATCTGTTACGACCATAACGTCATTACATTTCAACAGACCGGGGTCACGCTGAGCACATTCCATACACAAGACATACTGTACAACATTCACATCCAACACAATCACTGCACAATTATTCATTATTCTTATTTACACATTTGTGTCTTTTCAATCCGCTGCATTCCTTTCCTCTTGATTATTTTATTTCTTTGTATTCCACTGTAACAATATGAAGACAACATATCCTGCACATTTGTGCTCTCCTGATTTAATTTTCACAATATCCCACGAATAATTCTCTGGAATGCATTAAGAATCTTTTGTTGTTCTCCCCAAACCCTCACGTCTCAAGTTTTTCAAATGGAGGCTTTACAATTTAATTGTCTCCCTTTTCACTTCTAATCCGGTAACACTCTAGTATAGGGACCAGTTCTCACTATTAACTAGTTGCTTATTAGCATGCCTATTATTAACATATTGGCTGTTTATTAGTGTTTATAAAGCACATATTCTGCATGAGCATATTCTACATCCCTAATCCTACCCAATACCTAAACTTAACAACTACCTTACTAACTATTAGCAAATTTATTGAGACAAAAGTCGTAGTTAACGTTTTTTTAATAGCGAGAATTAGACCTTAAAATAAAGTGTTACCACCAATTCCTACTTGCAGTGTTTACTGGAATGTTTCTAAAGCAGATAAATACAATATTTATTGCCTATCAAAATGACAAATTCAGTTTTCCAGTTAATTAACATTTTTGATTAAGGCAACGTATAGGGCCTTATGCAGACATATATTAGTACAGTGATATTTACTGCTGCAGAAATAGAGCTTTTTGGGGTTCACAGTCTGTTGAAGGATGAAGTAGATTAATGTCACCTCATTGTACCAGTTTTTGAAAATGTTTATTATTGATGGTTTACAGTTTAACAGAAGTTACTCCCATAATTCAGTTAAAGCATCATGGGGCATAGGAAAAAGGTGAATGTGTGAACTTATACCAGTCACCAGGCAGTTCAGGAGGCCATGGCGGAGCAGGGAACTTAGGATGCCACGGCGGAGCAGGGAACTCAAGACGCCATGGATGGACCCATAATACTACCCCCCCCCCCAAAAAAAAATCTTTGGGGAGAATATAGTCTTTAGGGGCACTCCGTATAACTCAGGCTCCCTGGGCTTGACTTGGGGACTGGAGCCCTCCTTGGGCTGGACATGAGGACTGGAGCACTTTCTGTGCTAGACACGGGGACTGGAGCCTTCTCTGGGCTAGACTCGGGGACTGGAGCCCTCTCTGGGCTAGACTCGGGGACAGGAGCCCTCACTGGGCTAGACTTGGGGACATGAGCCGGGGACAGGAGCCCTCACTGGGCTAGACTTGGGGACATGAGCCGGGGACAGGAGCCCTCACTGGGCTAGACTTGGGGACATGAGCCGGGGACAGGAGCCCTCACTGGGCTAGACTTGGGGACATGAGCCGGGGACAGGAGCCCTCACTGGGCTAGACTTGGGGACATGAGCCGGGGACAGGAGCCCTCACTGGGCTAGACTTGGGGACATGAGCCGGGGACAGGAGCCCTCACTGGGCTAGACTTGGGGACAGGAGCCCTCTTCGGGCTGGATTCGGGGCCTGGAGCCCACACTGGAGCGAGCTCTGGGGCTGGAGCCGACCGCCTTCTCCTCCCTAGATTCCCCTTTAGGTTCGGGGTGAAAGGCATGGTCGGGGGGCTTGACTGAGGAACGGCCAGCGGGCTGGAGAGTGCTGCGGCCGGCGGCTTGACGGCGGGCTGGTTCTGGCTCGGGCCCGGACACTTCCCAGACACTGGTAGATCCCTTCCCTCCAGCATAGTCCCTTGATGTCTGGGAGGTCAATGCGGCGATGGTCATTGGCCCCGAGCCAGAACAGAGAATTGATGGTGGTGCCATCCAACGCCGTTGCCGCGGTGAACCCACAGAATTCCCAGGCATACTCGAAGAAGGGGAGATCTCGGCGGGCTAAGGCAGAGAAACGAGTGACGATTTCCTTGATCTCCGGGGGGGGGAACAAACACGGGGAGAAGGGGCGCCGCTTACTGTTTTGGTCCAGTATTCTGTCACGTTGCTACTGTGTTGGAGTGCGGAGCGAGGAATGAGGAGACCAGGAGTACATCAACACAGGAGATTTAAATGTCTTCTGGTCTCCTCGTTGTCATCCTGCCCGATTTGTGTGCCTGTTTATTTATTAAAGTCTGTTTGTTTTGAGTTCATCCTGCGTCTCCTCGCTGCCCACTCCCTGTGAATCATGACAGAAATAGTGTGTAATAGTAATCATGCATTTTATTTATAGGCACCTTTCTTGACACTCAAGGTCACCGTACATCATTAACAAGGCAATCACAATATTAAGTAAAAAACAATGAAGACAGTGAGATACAATACAATTTAAAAAACACAATTCAGTTGTGATCAGAGGGAGTCAGCTATTCTAAACAGATGGGTTTTGAGTTTGGATTTAAAATGTGGGAGAGAGTTGATGTTACGAAGGTCAGGAGGGAGTGGGGAGACTGTGGGGGAACAGACTGAGATGGATGGAGGAGATTATGAATGGCTTTAAGAGTGAGAAGTATTTTGTAGTTAATATGGTAAATGATGGGGAGCCAATGGAGCTGTTGTAAAATGGGTGTGATGTGCAAGTGATAATACGGGCAGCTGAGTTTTGGACCAGTTGTAACTTATGGAGGATTTTATACGGGAGGGCATTGCAGTAGTCTAAACGAGAGGTGACTAGGCTATGAACGAGAATGGCAGTGGAGTGAGGCTTCAACCCTAATCAAACACACCTGAACAAGCTAATCCAGGTCTGAAGGGTTACTAGGAAGCTACAGGC